GTTAGATATTGTTTATATATTATTTGATATTGTTAAGATATTGTTAGATATTGGTAACCACAATATCAAACAATATCTTCTGTTTATTCTGTTACTTTCGTTACTCTTTTAGTTGTATATCTCTACTATAAATAGACTACCCTATGTGTGATTTATACACAAGGGAAATTAATTCCAAACCATATTTTCTCTATATTCAACAGTTATGATGATCCAACAAGATTGAAAACTGGCATGGAGCTTCTAAGTGCCACTCAAGAAATCGAGTCACAATTACATAAGGTTAGCTTTTGCTTTTGCTCCCTTGTGTAGTTCTGTTACATGTTATTTTGAAGAACCACATGTGGATTTCTGCTGTGGTGATCTGTGCTTTTTACATGCAGTAATAGTCCTATTGAGAGTGATGCAGGTTTCAGCTCCATTATTGATTCTTCATGGAGCAGCAGATAAGGTGACAGATCCATTAGTGAGCCAATTTCTTTATGAGAAAGCTTCTAGCAAGGATAAGACACTAAGGATCTATGAAGGAGGTTACCACGGCATCTTGGAAGGGGAACCTGATGACAGAATTTTTGCTGTCCATAATGACATTATCTCATGGCTTGATTTTAGGTGCTCACTTGAATGAGGTTCATACTTCATATTTTTGTGTTGGTCACACCAAGATATAGTAGTGTGCGAACACCCTTAACAAAAGATTAAATGTACATGTCAATTTTGCTTTCTACCTTATCAGAGGCATTTATGAGTTTAATCTTATAATTCGCTTATTGGCTTTTCAAACCAGGTGTCCATTGTTCCATTTATCTAGACTTGTTAGGCTTGACCACTAGTATTGTTTATAACATAAAATATTATTTATAATACTATTCATAAATCTGGGATTTTATTATAATTTATATTATTCTGTGTAGATAGACCAATAACTTATCCATTTCGCTAGTAATTAATTGCCCAAGAGAAAACAAAACCATTAATAATAATATATTAGAGTATGTTTAGACAGCTTCTTCGTAAGACTTACACCTTACAATAAAAAAATTCAGTTTATTTTAAGATAATGTATAAATTAAAAATGAAAAATTGGAAAAACTATATTAATTATAGTTTATGAAAAAAAAAAGATTTTTTCAATTTTTTTATTCTAGAAATTTTTACAGAAAACTCCTAAAAAGATTCTAATACGAAAGATCCTAGTTTGTACGAAACTATTCTCGTGACATCTGTATTTAGTCATAATTCATTTTATATTATTTTAATTTATTTGATAAAAAAGGAAATCCTTCCTCGTTGTTGTTTGTGTGTTTCGTTCAATTTTTTTCGTACTAAATAGCACTTTGGTAAGAAAATAAATTACTATCTGGAATTAATGATATGGAAGAGTTTATTTTTTTTATTATTTCAAAAATAATATTATTGAACAAGCTAAAAAAATATAAAAAATATTATATGACGGAGTACAAAATTCATGGTAAATGGATACTACTAAAAAATGGTCCTTGCATATTAACATTTGTGTATTAATAATGGTTCAGTTTCGATAACATTCATAAGTAGTACTCTGTTGGGAGAAATAATTAAATAATAGGTTGAAAGAGAGGAGAATACATATAAGAAACGCAGAGACATTTTTTCTCACCTTGGGTCGCACTCTCGCACGCGCGGTGGCATCTAAGAAAGAAGCACCATGTCACTTCTTAACCAGCTCTTTAACAGAGGCGTTTTTGGCACTCGATGGTGATTTCCTATTGCTTCTAAGATTGAACTTTTCTGATTCTCATAACAATACTCCACTTTTTAGGTTTTGGGTGTTTCTGTGTTTCCGGATTTTAGGTTTCTCAATCCAGTCTCAGTCTTTTTTTTATCATACGCTAGTTCAAATTATAATTGAACTGTTAATTGGTTGAAATTCAATTTCAGTTTAGACTCCTTACCGTTTGTTTACTTTCTTCAAACATGCAAGATATTGAGGTATATCCGATGTGTATAGCCAGATTTTGGGTTGTCGGGAAAAGTGAGCTATTCTGATGAAAGAGCTCGGATCCTTGGTAGATGGATCGTTTCTATGACTGTCCTTGGCGCGATTGTAATTATTCAAAAGGATGCTTTGCACTTTTAATTTTAATAAATGTTCTATAGCTTGTTCTCTGAACTATCTATCTAATGCGAAGTACACTAGTGAACATTCTGCTTTTTGTTTCTTTTTCATCTTGTAGCAAAACATGCCTGAACCTGGCAATTTCACGCATTAAGTTGCTACAGAACAAAAGAGACATGCAACTGAAACAAATGTGCAAGGAGATAAGCCAATTCTTGCAGGCTGGCCAAGAGGCAATCGCTAGAATTCGGGTAATCTTTCAAGGCTTGATTAATAGCTGCTAGTTTCTGGATCTTTTCTCCTTGTGTTCTAACATTCTGTTTGTAAAATGTATTGATTTAAATAGGTGGAGCATATCATACGAGAACAAAATATATGGGCTGCATATGAAATATTGGAGTTGTTCTGTGAATTTGTTCTTGCTCGCGTACCTATAATTGAGAACCAGAGGTAAGTCATCTGGCCATATTAGTACTTATTGGCACATCGCATACTGTCATTGTGTTTTAACTTTATGGTTGACCGGCATGAAGTTCAGTACTCGCGCAAAGCAGATGTTGTTTTTAATGCTATTTTCCACATTTAAGAAATGGATCAATTTTTCAGGCTCTTTCTGCTTCACTAAATTTTTCCATTGACTATACTTTTCTCAATACATGAGAAAACAGAAACAGGGAAATTCTGTATTCACTATTAGCAGTTTTTAGGTGAAGTTAACAGTCCAAAACATGTTAGATGACCTCTCTTGTCAGTTGAAACTTAAGTATTTGTAATTACATCGTTTCTGAATCTTCAGGGGAATTCAAAGGGGGTAATATATATATATATATATATATATATATATATATATATATATATATATAACATAGTATGATAATCTTACATTTCACTATTTGAATGACATGATTTGACTTTGATATGACTTGGCTATGAATCTCATAAATTATGATACATGGATGAATCAATGCAATTCCATATCACCAATGCAAAAAAAAGGAATAAAGGAGCACTATTAAACACATCCTATTTGATTATTCAGATGTTTTAGTTTCCTTCTTCTAAAACAGGGGCTCCAGATGGTCACTTACTAATTCTATCTGTTCTATTTAGCTGTACCGGTGCTGCTTTAAGTCTTATAAAATAAAGGCTTCAAACACTCAGTTATAACTCATGATTCTGTTGTGTGAAGCTTTTGGTCCTTTTCTAGTTTAAAATTATTACATTGAGCAGTATTCATTATTTAGATGATATATTCTAAGTTATTCTTTGTTATATCACTAAATTTTACAATCTCATAGAGTTTATAAATCAATCAAATGACAACAAAAGCATATTTCACTAGGTGAGGTTGGATATTAGATTACAAAATGTCATTCGGCTCTGTTTAAGAATTTTTTTTAGAATATCGTTTACCGTGAGATCCTCTCAACAGTTTTCTCCAATGTCCTTCTTGTCTCACACATTTGCTTTTCACAGGGCTAAAAACTATGTAGTCTACTTTCCTCACTGGTGTTTTCAGTGACTTTTGTGATTCTACTCTCTTCACTTGTACGATTTATGAATCATGATTAACAAATTATCCTAACAATTTGCAATATAAATTTTGATTCAATGACCTGTTTCTGAATTTAAATGGGGTAAAATGTATGGTTTTAAACTTGGTTCACCAAAATTGTTTTTTACATAACTTTAGGGAGGAATAGTGTTATTTACCTATACTTGTATAACCTTTTTATATTTGTATGTGTTATTTGTGCATATGTGACACTTTAATAAGTGATGTTTGAACTTTGAAATGATACTTTGTTACTTCAAGTTTATTTAAGGTAAACTATTGGCAATTAAATAAATTATTGATGCCTAAAGGCATTTATTGATCTTCCATGCATTGAATATTTTTAGTTCTCTTTCACTTATAGGAGGTATTTATATAAGTCACACTAAATCACTTTTAGTTAAGAGAATATTCATTTTGGTAACTGAATTGAGAGTTCAAACAGTTGCACATTTTCTTATATAATTACAGAAAAATATTTTTTTAGTCAATCTTGAAGCCTTCCTTCTCCACATGATAGGGAGTGCCCTGCGGAGTTGCGAGAAGCCATTGCAAGTATAATTTTTGCTGCACCTAGATGTTCAGATGTACCAGACTTATTGCACATCAAGAACTTGTTTACCACTAAATATGGGAAAGAATTTGTCTCTGCAGCATCTGAACTTCGTCCTGATTCGGGCGTGAACCGCACGGTGATTTATCTATAAGTGCTGCTTCTGAAAAGCAAACTGTTACAGTTTCTAAACAATTGCATACTATCATTAGTCCATCTGTTCTTTTGTCATGATTTCAGATCATCGAAAAGCTTTCAGTTACGGCTCCATCTGGAGAGGTAAAACTCAAGGTCTTGAGGGAGATTGCAGAAGAATACAATATAGCATGGGATTCTTCCAAAACTGAGGCTGAGTTTAGGAAAAATCATGAAGATCTTCTGGTAATTTTTTCAGTGGATGCTCATTTCTTCCTTCATTATTTTACATTAAACATATTATCTACTACTAGATTCATGTGATATCATACATGTCATTGACAGTAGATGGCATCTGTATAACTAATAATTTCTCACTTGTCTAACTATAACATCCTTGACACTGACCCGAGAAATTACTGAAAATTTAATCCTAAGCTCAGGGTATGTGATAGTTCTACCATGAGTATTGAAAAATGCCCCTAGCTGTTGAGGGTATTTGTCTTAAATCTCCTGGCATATCTTCTGTAAATCTCATAGATATTCGACAAAACTTTCAAACATATTAATGTGTCTATTTGTTCCATGTTCCTGAACTTTTTGAATGTAGCTAGTTTAATTGGGAGTTTGTTGATTTCCTTCTCATAGACATGATTCAGGGCTAAAATTGTTTGCAGGGAGGGTCCATTTATCATTATTAGTGGCGGTAATAATTTCAGTTATTATTTAGTCAACTGGTTCTCACTGCTTAGCTCTGTTGTCAAAAAATGTGGGGCTACAGCGCCTTAGAGTTCCTTTGAAATTTTTTGAGTTAAATATACACGTTTATCTTAGAACTTGACATTGAGCAGCTGGTTCTGGACAAGGACAATCTAAATCTTGAATTCACTGACCTACGTTTTTTACTTTATACTTTATACATTGAATTCACTTATACTTTGTTGTGTACTTCTCTTCTGTTGTGTCAGCAATTTGCTCAGTTTTTCTTAATTTTTATAATGATTTTCTTGTGTTACCTGTAGGGAGGAGCTAAGCAAGCTAGTGCTGGAATTGCCCTTTCTCATACACCCAGCAGAAATGGTTCTAATAATTCACCATCTTATACTACGGAACCTTCTATCAAGTCTGAGCATGATAAACAAGAATATAAACAACTTGAATCTCCCAGCCCTTCTAACAATAATTCTTTATTTAATAGTAATGAAATTGAACAGTCACACAAAAATAATGATGTTTTTCCTGCTGGAGATGCTAAAAGTGAGACAGCATTTCAATCTTCTGATGTACTGGAGAAGGCGCGTGCTGCTATTGCTTCTGCAGATCGTGCGTCTGCAGCTGCTCGTGCTGCTGCTGCACTAGTCCAGAGTAATTTTGGATCATTGAAGCTGGAAGGTAAATAAAACTTCACAGTGCGCAAAATGGATGAACTATTACCTCCCAAGATCTTAATAATGGAAAAAAAAAAGTTAGGAACTAAATGCCAAAGGAGAAAATTATGTTCTTTGTTGCGGAGGTGACAGCTTCATACGGTAACTAAGTAATAAGAATTGTGTTGTGGATGCATTGTACATTCGATATTTCATACATGTATATCATTGTAACGAAACGAAATAACGAACACATTCAACTTTTTTAAATCTTTCCTGATTCTTGGGACTGCCGTTTTGAAAGATGTTGTTTCCAAGTAGTTTAAAAAATCAGTTTTCTAACCCAGGAAATTTATGTATATGTATGTGTGTGTGTGCATTTTCAAAATCGTTATTCTTATCATCTCATGCACGTTTTATTGCAGATAAGATATAAACTTTTGTAGTTGTGATATCATCTACGTGTTAGGTGTTGGACTCTGTTTAACCCGTCATGTCCAAGTGCGATGATAGCTTCATGTGTGATTACTTTGACAGGAAAGATTTTTTTATGGACAAACATAATTCATCATCAATTATTATTTGAATATGTTTGGGACAAAATGAGCTGTCCGGCCTGGCTTATGTTCTGCTGCACTTTGTTATTTTTAGGTCCAGCTGGTCTTATGTGGCCCACTTAAAACAATAAAATAATATTTTGAAGTCAAAATATTTAAAACAAAATATATTTGTTTAAAATTGAAGTTTTATGAATGAAATTTATTTTATTTTTTAGTTGTAAAGATTTAATATATAAATTATAATATCTGTTATTTAAAACACATTTGGATTGCTGGCTTAGAGGCTTATGCTAAAATTATCCAATTCTGTTAGACTATAATTGTTTTAGTCTATTAAAGTGTTTGTTATAGGTTTATCGGCTCAGATTCATTTTATTTCTTCTATGTGTTTGTTTAAGTTATAGTCCGAGGATTATAAATTATCTTGACTGTTTATTACTACAGCTTCATAGTTTCTTTCTTTAATTCCATAATTTAAAAAAAAATTTGATTTTATCTTTCATCAAAATATTGTTTACATTTTTGGATTAGTTGTTTTGAATTGGTTATTTTGAAAATACATTTCAAAACTGAAATGTTTTTCTAAAATATTCATTTGAAAATATATTTTAGATCATTCAATTTTTGATTTTTTTAAAAATATATTTTGAATTAAGTGTTTTGAAATTCATTTTTAGGTTAAAAATGTTATGGATTGAATAGTTTGAAGTCTTATATTTAATAGATACAAAACAATAATAATTTCTTATGTTATGGGTAAAAAAAATCTTCAACGAAAATAGAACCAACAAAACGAAACTAAGGAACTATAAAGTTGTAAAGGAGCGGAGGAGAAGAACTTTTATGATTTCGAGCAAAAAATAGTAAAAGAATATTTCAATCATTTTACGTGGGAAGAAATTATGGAATGACGGGTCAATTATAACTTAGCCCATTAATGGAGAAAAGCTAAAAGATTGTTTAACGTAGCCCACTACTAGAGAAAAGTTAAAAGACGGTTTAACATAGCCCAATAATAGATCAAAGTGAAAAGATTGTATGATAAGCCCAAACTGTAAGCTTTATTTTCTAGTCTGAATGAAAATTGGAAAAACAAAAAAAAAATCAAATTAGCAATTCTTGTCTAGTTTAGAAATTGAAATCCTGAAGTTTCTCTGGATAATATTTTAAACAATGCACAATTGAAAATATAATAAGAAGACTACAAAATAATGTAAAACAGTTTAAAATCTTATAAAAGAATATATTTTGTTAATTTCTAAAACAATTATTTTAACAATCATGTTGAATTTAGTTGGTAGTTTATGCTTAGATGATAGCATAAAATTGTTTTAACTAATTTGACCACTAAATTTTAAAAATAATGTATTAAAAAAAAACATCCACAAAAATTTCTTAATAGAAAAGCAACTTCACATTAAATTCATATACGAACTAAAGGAATTCTAGCAAAACTAAAATAATAAATCCAAGCGAAAAGAGAAAAAAAATCTTATTATAATTAATATATTACAAGAAAAAAAAAAAGTAAGAGAGACAGCGACATAGACCGATGCAGTATTTGAAAGGGGAGCATGATTGGTTATAAGGGCACCAAAAGAGGTGGTGGCAGGGCCACACATCAAGTGAGTCAGAAGAACCAAAACATTCTTGTTGGCACTCCCGAACACCATGACCTGCGTTCACTCTCACTCACTCACTCTACTCAATCTAGTGACCACACACACATAGGCAGGCTAAAGAGTGAACCATCAGGCTGTACCCTAAGACCCCTAGGTTTCACATAAGAGCCCTATTGCCCTAGCCCTTTACAAGCTATTACATCTACATCACCCCTTTTCACACTCTCAACACCCTCCCTCCTTTTTTTGTAGCTGGAGATTTTTTAGTTTTTGTATTGTATTGTAATATACACACACTCACTCAGCGCATAATCACACTTCTCAACCCCACCCCTCTCTCATGAAAATCCATTCTACTCTGATTCACAAAAGACACACAGTACCTATGCATGAAACTTCAGCAAACAGTTCTGTGATAGACACATTAACCGTACATTTATTCACTAGTGTGATCAGAAAGAGAGAGAAAGTGCGTATTTGTGTGTGACAAAGATGTAACGTAGGTTTGCAGGAGAAATAATAAGGACATAAGTGAACAAGACCGGAGTAGTAAAGAAAATTTGGTGAAGTGGGTGGGGATGCTATGTGATCACTGACCTTCTGTAGCTACCAAGAACAAATGCTGAAGGGGCCTCCCAACCCCAACACAACACTTTTTTATAACCATTCTATCAATATTCTTATCTTTTCATTCATTTATGTTGCATCCGTGGTCCCTTTCTACTTTTCATATATATTATACCTAATCTCCTTTATTTTATTACATCAGACATTCCACTCTTCTTATCTACACTACACTTCAGCTAATCCACCATATATCTCCACAATACAGACGGTAGGGTTTACCATATTGCAAATACAACTTAAAATGTAATTAATCTAACTGTAAATAACACTGTTTACCAAGAAAAATGTTCTTAATCAGATTAATTAATTTAAATAATGTTTTAAGTATTAATACATGTAGCATTGTAAGATTAACAAAATTAAATTAAATAACTCATTTAAGTTACTATGCACAGTTGTTCCAGATCGAGTTTAACTGACAATTTATACACTCATTCTAATGATCTTGTAAAAAAGGTGTATTTTTGTTATATGTTTTTATAAGAATAAATGCGTGAGTTTAGACAGGGATGATATTTTTTTTTTCTTTTTATATGGCTTATATGTAAGTTGAAAGTAGCGTTCATATGAGTTATTGTAGAAAAATGTGAATTCATGTGAGTCTGATTTTAAGAAACAAGACAATCTCAGGTTTAGAAAACTAATGCGAGTATTTAAAATTTTTATCTTGGTATGAGAGGTGGGGAAGATTGATGTTTGTGAGGGTTTAAGGATTCCTAAATTGGTGTTGCTTTAAAAAATTTTGCAGGTTGAGAAGGTAGAGAGAGTAATCATTTGTAAATTTAAAAATATATTCGTAAACTTGAATTGATGATCTATGTGAATTTTGATGGTTTCATTAATGTAAACAGTAAAGTAATTTGTGAGTAGTAAGTTATATGGAGATGCATTGATTTCTTATTTAGATGAAAATTTGAAGTTTTACATTTTTGCTTGTTACATTTCTTGGATCAGCGGATTTCCAAGAGTAATTGAACGTAGAAAAAACTCATTAAGATGTAAATCTTATAAATATTAATATATTCTGTTTGTATGAAAATATATATATATATATATATATATATATATATATATATATATAAATATCAGTTTGGTAAGTCCAACTTAATGACACTTTTTATTTTGGTTATTGGTTCGTAAATCTTAAATTTGTAATAGCAATGAGATTGTTACAATATTTAAAGTTATGTAGTACTATAAAATCTATAAAATTAAAATTAACACTCATCAAAGCATCTATGTCTAGATATAGTGTACAGAGTTATGAATTATTAATGTATGAAATAACTCATTTTAATGATTTTTTCTTGACAAAACTAATAAAAATAAATCTTAAGAATTAATATTATAAAAAACCTTAATTTATAGTGTAGAAAAATGATTTAAAATATTTAAATCATTTTAAATTCTGATTATAAAATATATTGAACACTTATGTTAGGTGCTTTGACACTCTAGCTAAACTCTTTATTTTAATTTTTTTCATTTAAGGTGAATAAACTAGAATAAAATTATATCAGTTTAATCAATATTTTAAGTACATGAAATTTAAATATATAATGACATGAAATATTTGTAGAGAACCATGGTAGTAGGTAATAATGGATATGTTCCATTGTGTGCATAGCAACTTGAATCTAATACTATATTTATTGTGCATCATAGAAATCCAGTGAAATTTTGATAACAGAAAAAGTATTGATGTTATTACAGTTAAAAGATAAGATGGGATGAAAAGAAGAAGGGGAGTTAAAAAGTGTTAGGACCCCTCAATAGTCAATTTCTAAATCAGGGCCTGCATGCATGGTAGCCATGGGCATGAGGATGAGGACGAAGGAGAGAATTCAACTAAACCGCGTGATGTTTACACTTCACCGAAAGAAAGAAGGCACATTGATTTTGCTGAATTGAAGGGTCCTTTTCGTCTTGAACTTCGTTTAAACGCCCACATGTTTCCATTGGTCGGTTTAGATCTGCCCCTCTTGTCCCATTCTTTTTTCTTATGCGTTTCCTTGCATGCAATTGCTATTCCACCTCTTGTTTTCTCTTTCAGACCATGCTTTCTTCTCCCTTTATTATATTCAAATAACCTTTCATTACACTATCATCATCTTTAATAAACCAAACATTTTCAACAACCATGCATGCTGTCATTCTGCTATGTGAATAATCAATGGTTTCGATCTTTCCAACTTGTCCATAATGTTAAACTCACAAATATGCC